AATCTAAGAATAATTTTAAATTTCCCCTTGGTTTCTAACCACTCTTAGCTATGACAGCTCTTGCTCTCAACAACATTTAGACTTTACTAAAAAGATGTGCTTTCCTGGGAAGTATTTCTCTCAACCCAGTTAGACTGTTAGCAACTACATAAAAAGAAAAACTTGTTTAAAAACAAAAAGCAAGGGCTGCAGTTAAATTAAAAAATACTATGCTGGGTAGGGAAATTTTTCAAAGTGTCAAGACTAAAGAATAAAACAAGAGCAAAACAGAGATTATAAAAAGTCCCTGAACACATTAAAGAGGGATACCTAACGTTTACTCCTGTAAGTCCTCTGTCAAAATGCAATAGCTGACAAGATATACAAAGATATCCAGCAACACATTTACTGGCATTCATTCCATACTTTTAACAAAGCAGCTACATTTTGATGATGATAATAATAATAATAATAAAAATAAAAGCTAGCCTTTAATTCCTAATACTCTTGACTCTGATCTCCACATTCCAAGTGCTGGGATTATAGGCATATGCTACCACACTCAGGTTAAGAATTATTTTCAAAAGGCATTTTAAAATATAATTTTATTTATGGGTGTGTGTTTGTGTGAATATGTGTTTATGGGTTCTTGTGGAGGTCAGAAGAGGGTGTTGGATTCCTGGGAGATGGAGAACAGACGGTTCCCATGGCTGCTGGGAACGGAACTCAGCTCCTCTGCAAGAGCATGGGTGCTGCAATCCACTGAGCCTCACTCCAGCCCCCAAAGCATTTTTTTTTTTTTAAACTTTTGGGCAGGAGAATCAAATAAACATAAACAATGTCATACAAGCTACCATGAATTGAATCTCCAAAGCTTTATCAGTTATTAAACAGTCAATTTTCGGGTTTTCATTAGAAGTATAAAGCATCTTTTCTGGCATATAATTTGAAATGTTATTTTCATTCACAAATCTCAAACAATACACAGAATGTGTCTGAACTCATACCTTTTTCAATTCTCTTTTCCGGGCTTCCTTTCCTAAAGAGAAGGGAAGAGACCATACAACTCAAATCTTCAACATTAACATCATCACAAGACAATACACACAATGTTTTCTTCTGAGGCTTCCCTATCAACACGCGGAGAAGTAAGAGCATCAGTGGCTTCCACCTACAGACGACTGCAGCACTTAAAACCCTTACAACCCCAAAGCCAACATGTTTGTTTTCATAGGAATAACTGAACCATAAGGAGAAAACGAGATGCTCAAACACCAAAAAACACTTAAAAACTCACTTGTTTAAAAATTCCAACACAAGGACTTTACCAATTTTATCCCTCAAGCCAACCAACTTCGACAAAGAAACATGATTTTAACTGATTTACATTCTCACCATTTTAGTCATGTGAACTAATTCTAAGAATTCAACATGACTTTACACAACTAACTCACTCCTGCCAATGCCCCAGTGAACTAGTCTTTGAAGTGTTTTCTTCTTCCACACTAACAGCACTTACGAGCTTGGTCCGTGGGGTTCATAAACTTCCCACTCTTGGTGGAGGATGTTGATCTCCGTCCCATGTTGACAATTTATATGGTTTACTTCTTCATTAAGAAAAAAAAAAACTGGAATAATAAAAAAAAAAGAACAAACTCAGTTTTCCAGTATGTTTAACATGTCTTCCTTTTTAGAATTTCCATCAATTTTTGGAAAGAAATAACCCTTTGATTATTAGTTTTGTAAGAACTCGCTCTTTCCTTAATTGTGAAGGTATTATATGGCTTTACCTTTCTTGACCACAGGAAAGCTAACATGTATTAGTCAAGGCAATGGGATATCATCACCTCACCGACTGAACACTTGGCTATGGATTATGTAGCTCTGTCAAGTGAAAAAATCAACTAGGAGTTCACACTTGGAATGTGGACTGAGCCGTAAGAGACTATCTCCAAACAAAACAAAAACTAGAAAATGTTCTAACAATGTGATACAAACCATGGGTATAGGAAGCCATTAGTCTTTTTTCTACATACCCCCGTTATACATAAGGTGAAATCAAATACAAGTAGGGGTAATGGATCTAGGCTCAAAGACATATGTTCTGACTTTTCTCCTTGGCATGTGTACTGTTCATTCAACACCCCACAGATGGTAAAAAGTAATTAACTTAAACATATTTAATTTAGATTTAATACAAGTCAAATATGATTCATGACTTCCCCCAAATAATGACATATTAGAACTTGCCAAACTTAATATTAACATATATTTTCTTACTAGTACTTATGACTCTTGATTTATATATTTTAAGGTAATTAAAAGTGGTAGTCACTGTAAGAAAATATTTTCAAGGCTTTTATTAGTGTCAATTCTTCCTCTTCTATTCAAAATGAATGAATGTTAACTTTCAAAATTTAACCTGTCCAATAAAAAAGTAACAAATGTTTCCCATTGAAACTACGGACATTGGGCTCCAGGCACCCCCTTGTTGCTCCCTATGAACACTAAGTAAATCTCCTTTCTTCCTTAAAAAGATACCTGTAAAGGTAGGGAATGGGGAGATCCTGAGATGAATTTAATAGACCTTACAACTCTAACTGCCTTGGCTCCTTTGTTAAGACTTTGTAGGGTTTTTTTAGATAATGCTTCTTTCATCAAGTGATCAAGCCCGGCTACCTGCTACTTCTAGGTGTTTCAGAACTGTTCGGTGGCTATTATTTCATTATAAAATGTTTCGTTATCAGAAAACAAGGGGGCCAGGATGATGGGAGGAAGGTAAGCGAAGTACTGATTATAGAGAACTAGAAAAAAGCACGGATACAAGCTTTTATATTTTTGATCCTATCTTTAGTGCTTCCCCTTTTCAAGGAGCCTCAGGTTCACGTTTTGACCTTTCCCCCCCTCCCACAACTGAACACACCACAGCCACGAGTCACTGAGAATTTTTACAAGACCGTAATGCCTTCGTCTACAAAAGCGGCTCTCCGAAAAGCAGAAGCATCTGGGAGAGAACGGGTCGAAAGAACCCAGACAGCACAAGTGCAACCCGAGCAGTCCGGGCCCACCGAAGGAGGCCTCAACCGCAACCGCCGAAACCATAGCGACGGTTGATACCGACTCGAGCGGCTAGACGTCAAGCCAAGCCACCGGCCGACGCGTTCACGAAGCGGACCTAACCCACCGGGCAGGCTCGGCCGGGGACCCGTCGGCCGCTGCGCCACGCCGGGCCCCGGAGCCCTCAAGCCCGCTGCTCCCGCGACCCCGGGCCAGCGGAGGAAGAGCGTGGCCCCTGGGCCTGGTGCTCCTGCGGCGGCTGCGCAGGCCCCGGAGGGAGTCGCGGGAGACGGAGCACCGCGACCGCGCACACTCACGCGACTGCGGGGCTCCCCGATCGGCGAGGCCGGGCAGCGGGCGGTCCCAGCGTACTTTCTGCGACGGGGCCTTCACCTCTGCCTCTCGGTCAACCACCCAGCCACCGCCATCTTGAAACCTCGCGCCCCTCCGCCATCCTTACGTCACTTCCTGTGCCCGCGGCCGACGCTCTTGCCGCGTTGCTGAGTCCCGGGACCATAGAGAGGACACAGCAACGTCAGGGCCAGAGTTGCTTCCGCTCAAATCCAACATCCGATTGGATTTCTGTCAGCCAAGAACCCGCCTCACTCCGAAGCTTGTAGATTGACACTGATATCGTCCAATAAGAATGAAAAGAAGGAAACTGCTATTTGATTGGCCAATTGCTTTACCTCTCTCGGAATCCTGACGTAATTTCCGGAAGCTCCTTCTATTGAGATGTCAGGTATCGGTCCATCTGCAGGGCAGAGTCGTGTGTTGATTTTGTTCCTTGTTGTGTAGAGTGTAAATGGATGCTGTCTGTCCTTCGGGAATGCCTCCATTTGAAAACAAGTTCCCGAATGACATTAGGCATCGAGTTTAAAAAGTGCTCCGCACACATCAGCCCTTTGGATGCCTGGTGCTCCCGGATGTTTGGTAGTGGCTCGTAAATACCCAGGATGTGTAGAACCGAACAAAAAAATCATTTCCTGGCGAGACTCACTAATTGATAATCTGCACACACAAAAAATATGTTTTTAAAAGAGAAACAAGGATACATGTTTTAGATTTTCCAGAGGAAAACATAACTCTCCCGTTCCGACTGATCTTTTCATCACCCCAAAGTCCTTTATGATGTCATTACACACTCGGAATTCTTTCTCTCTAGTCTCCGTCTTTTCCTTCCCCTCTACACCCCCATTCCTTAAGACTCCTCCCCACCCTTTCCCCTTAAAGGTAAGCATTTTAAATGAAATCTTTGTAAAGCTCATGCTTGGTTGTTTTTCAATCTGAGCTTCCTCTACAGAAAGGTTATAAGGGAATTTTTGATATCAGGTATTCCGTAAGTATTGATAGACATGTATATTAATGTTTATGATGTTTAAGTGTGTCACCTAACAGTGTAACATCAGTCCCATACTTAAGCTAAGCTTTGTTGTAGTAGAAAAAACACATTTTGAGATAGGATCCCTGTGAAGCCCTGACTTGCCTGCTCAATAAGTAGACCTCCACCTCCCCATCCTCCTGTCTCATTGTCTTGACTGATGGAGTTACAGGCATGAGGCATGACGCCTGGGTGTCTTATTAAATTCTTGGTTTGATTACTCTTTGAGTGTCAGCGATAGCAAGAGCTAGTCGTTCAAAACGTACCAATCAGCTAATAATAATAATAATAATAAAAACCTGAAGGTGACCCAAATTGTTATATTGAAACTAATTTATAAGACCAGTGATAAAATAGAAAATAATACATTTGAAAAAGTCATATGGCTAGTTAAAAAATTTTCACCTACTTGTAAGAGGTTTTTGAGATATCCTGAGTATTTTATTTCAATGAATTTTTTTGTACTTAAAAACAAAACAACTATAGCAAAGACATTATCAGCATCAACGGTATAATAACTTTCAAAGTGGACCCTATAAATGGGTCAATGGGAATTGTTGAAGGATTTAGAAAACAAATGCTGTATCTACAGAAATTAAGTTGTATCAGTAGGCTTCCATAGCCTCTGGCTTTTTCTGAAATCTGGTGGTAAATGACAAATACAAAAGGACACTGAGTCTTCTTCCTCACCCTAATATATTTTATGCGTGGATAGCTGGGGTTTATTTCTTGTTTGCTTTTGAAAATGTTCTAGAGTGTCCCACTGCCTAAGTGATAGACAACAGTTGGTCAATATTAATTGCATTATAGAAACAAGATTTATTATTATCTTTTCCCAAATCCATCCAGTCACACTTTGTAATTAGTAGAAGCTTACAGATCCATTGCCTCCTTTCATTCTTGGAGAAAATGTTGTTGGTTGCAGTCATTTCCAGGTTACAGACAATTGGATTTAATATAGGGGTAAAAATGTGGAAGTATTTCTAGTTAAATTGAAGGCTGTAAGTGTGTAAGTGTGTGTCCAGCCAGAGGAGTATGTCTCATTAGACCTAAGGGATGTTTGGAACCGGCGATAGGAATGCCTCTGCATTATATGGGATGTTTGAGGACACTGAGTGAGAACAAGGAAACAGCAGTCTATACCTGCTGCTCTGTGATGCATTTATACCACATGGTTCTGACAGCAGGGGGGAAAACTCCCAGATAGAGACTTAGCACTTCAGGGTCTAGTACAACCAATGTGGGCACTCGCTGTTGTCACAGAACCCAAGCATTCCCAATTGTTTACTCTATCGCTGTCCACATCGGAGGCATATGGAAAAGGAAACTAGTTAAAGAAATAAGCATCGAGATGCAGAGGGAAGCACAGAACTATCCCAGTGGTGGATCCATGACTTCATCTTATCTGGCGTTTCACGGCACTGGTGACCTCAGTGATGGCGTGATGGTACCTTTCCGAAGCTGCCTTGAACTCCACCAGATGCTTCTCGTAGCTTTTGATGGCTGCTTGAAGCTGCGTCCTCTCCACTGCTCCCAAGATGGCACGGACGATCATATCTATGCCAAGACCAAGCACAGCAACGCCGATGCTACCAAGGAGGGAAGTCCCGATGTGAGCTAGCACGGTGACCAGCTTGTTAATGATGCCAGTGGTGACATTGGAGCCCACGAGTTTAACGGCCACTGCACTGGCTGCAGATGTAGCTTCTCCCAGGATGACAGAAATGACCCTTTGCACGATTGCGATCTTCTCTGTCTCCCGTTCCTTGATGTCCTGAAGCTTCCTGTAAAGGGTTGGTTCCAGTTTCTCTTTCAGTGCCTCGTCAACCTTCTGCAGTTCCTTTTGGATTCGTATCACAGCTTGGATAATGATGTCACAGTTTTCTTTGATGGTTCCATCTCTTTTCATCTCAATGAAGGCCAGCCTACAGCCCAAGTGGGTGTTCAGAACCCCGGTCAGCTTGTTGGTGACCTGGAAGCTGTCAGACAAGCAGTCTAGGAGCTGCTGGTGAAGGCGGTTCACTTCCTGCCGCCTCCTTGGGTTTTCTGGGTAGAGGAAGTCACTCTGAGCCATATTTCAGCTACAGTCTCTGAAAAAATCAAACGAAATTGTCAGAGTCCCTTTATGACTCTACTCAGGAGGCCTTCCAAGTAGCCATAGCTAAAGGCTTTCTCTGAGAACTCAGGTTTGATTTGCTTCTCTGTTTGAGACAGGATCTCATGTAGCCCAAACTAGGTATAATTTCAGATCCTCCAGCCTCAGCCTCGCATGAGCTGTGATTACAGGCCTGTACCCCCTGCCTGGTATATTTGGTGCTGGGGATCAAACCCAGAGCTTCATGAATTCGACACAACCATTCTACAAACTGAGCTGAATCCTCAGCCCTTCAGAGGTTAGCTCTCGACTCCGATTACTTATTTCCCCAGTTCCTCGCCACCACACTAAGTATGTGTCTACCAGGTGTATTTCCCAAGTATCTGGAGTTAAATCAATAGTCTAAAGATCTCTGGGTTTACAGCAACAATGATATCAATTTAGTGTGTATGTATTTGAAATTTTAAAATGTTCACCCAGGGCTTGTGAGATGACTTAGAGTTGGTACCAGTGCTTGCTTTACAAACCTGAAAAACTTGAGTTTGGTCCCTGGGACCCACTTGACGCAGCTGGCTCTTGCAAGGTGTCCTTTGAGCTCTACACACCTACCATGGTGTACCCACCCACAACCACCTCACCTTTCTCCAATAAATAATTTTAAGATCTAAAAAAGGAAATAAAATATTAGCATCATTATACCTCTATGAACAAATTGTTTTTAAAACATAAGGACTATCCAAAACTGACACCTATGCAATATTAGAATCTTTAAAAATTCTTCATGAGCCAGGCATGGTGGTATGCCTTTGACCCTGGCACTCTGGACACAGAGGCAGGCAGATCTCTGTGAGTTCAAAATCAACCTGGGCTGCAAAGCAAGTTCCAAGCTAGCCAGAGCAACGCAGTGAGATCCTGTCTCAAATGACAAACATTTCTCAGAATAAGAGTACATTTTCCAGATGGTAGGTTGAAATATCATTTGAGAAGGTGGACCCCATACAAGGACAGGACAGTTATGATCATGTCTGGAACTCTCTTTGTAAAGCATACACATTAAACGATTTAGTATAGTCTATATTGCATGTGGCCATTTGCTTTGTTTGGTTTGAAACAGGGTCTCACTCTGTAGCCCAGGCTCACATGAACTCACTAGGTAGTCCAATGCAGCCTTAAATTCCCAGTGATTCTCCCGCAGCCTCCTGAGTGCTGAAAGCAGCCTCCACACTCTCCACAACCATTATTAAGGCAGGCTAGAGTGAGTGTCAGGAAGAAGGTAATGGCTTCTCACAAAAGCATTAGCAAAGCACACTGTACACTAATATAGCCAAACGGGAGGGGACTTCTTGTGCTTGTGTTTGTGGCTCAGAGCACCCTCTGTTAAGAGAGGGAACACCCATACTTTTCTGCATTTATTTTACTGAAAAACTGGGCAGAGAAAGAACAATGTGCTTCTTAATGTGCATACGTTGAACAGGCTTTCCGTGTGCCCAGCACTTGGACTTTTCTGTTAAACTCTGCAATGGTTAGTTTTATAATTATTTTTATGTGTTCATACCTGCATGTGTTTTCCCTGCATGTATGTATGTCTGTGTATCATGTGTGTGCCTAGTGCCCTCTAAGGCCAGAAGAAGACACTGGATCCTCTAGAACTGGAGTTACAGACAGTTGTGAGCCCCAGGTGGGTGCTGGTAACTGAACTCAGGTCCCTTGGAAAGAGCTTTCAGTGCTCTTGACCTCAGAGCCATCTCTCTGGCCCTGTTTAAAAATCGTATATTGTATACACATAATCGTGTATGTGTACAGGAGGTTTACCAAACAATTGTTTCTCTGTTGTCTGTGTTGTAATCTGTCTTCCTGTTTTTGTCTTACAAGGCAAGTAACTGACTCGACCAACCTGTGTTCTGATGGTGGTGGTCTTGCTTCCGCCCTTTTCTGTTTAAAGAACCAGTTATCTTGTGCGCAGTGCATCAGAGCACGCTTACAAGAATACGATGTCGTCTACCCTAACACTGAAACTGAGGCCAGTTGACGCCTCTGAACTGCTTTTGCAGTTTGTGTTTGGCACAGTTTACAGGAGTGCTTTTCTCTGTGACACACAAAGAAGAAACAGCTGTGATGCCCCACTTTCCTGGCATTTTCTAATCAGGTTAGGAGGTTAAGACATTTAAACTACAAAGTCAAATTGGAAAAAAAAATTGGTTGTACAAGATTTGTGTTTGACTTGTGTAAAGTCAATTTTTAAACAATTCACATTTTATTACTCTATATTAATAGTGCCCCAGGTAGAGACAGACACCTGGTCACCCAGGAAGGGTCACAGCGTATGGGCTTTTGAATTGATTTCTTTAAATGTGTACTTGATGCTTAAGAGGAGGCTGGATGCTGCATGGAGGACTGAGAGTTGGTAATGTGTGGTGCTTCCATCTGGCTTTCAACTGTTTGCTTCTGAATCTGAGCGCTCTCCTTAGTGGAACAGAAGCCCACAATTAGTCAGACTTCTTCAAGATCACTGATGCCTACCGACTGACACAATGCTATGCCTCAGAGCGGTTCTGGGCCATAAACTCACTACCACTTTTTTTACATTTTTAACAGTTACCTGCCTGAAGCCTGTTAAAGACTGTGGCATTACCAGGTACCTTAGAGGTGAGTTTAACACAGGTAACACACCCATGTATCGCAGATTTGGGATTTCATAAAATCTGAGTTATCATATAGCCAGTGCTTCCTGCCAGTGAAAAAGTCCTGTCTGGGGATTTACTCCAATTCTGCAGCCTGCTGTCCACTCAAGTAAGGGACATTCTCAAGAACCCTGCAGCAGCCTGCTGGGGACTTGCTAGCCAGCAGGGGGAGCCCGTGACTCCTGGGAGTCACATCTCACTCCAGTCTTCGCTGATACAGTTCTGCTTTGCTTGGTGTACGTCTGAGCTCTAGGGGGTACAATTTTGTTCAATGTGTTTGGTTGTTAAAACAGTAGCTGTGCATAACTAACTACAAGAGTAGCTGTGCATAACTAACTACAATCCCAGAATTTAAGAGGTAGAGGCAGGAGGATCAGGAGTTCAAGTTCAAGGTCAGCCTCAACTACATGGTGATTTCAAGGCAACCTAGGTTACATGAGACTGTCTCAAAGGGGTGGGGGAGAAATATAAAAGAAGGGAATTAATGTTAATTTTGTGATACTATGCAGGGGGTTTAGTTTTTCTGGAAAAGAACCACATTGCAAGAGAAAGGATGCTGAGTGTCAGGATTATTATTATTATTTGTTTTAATAGCTTTTGCTGGCATGAGCCTCTTGATGTAAGCCAGACTGACCTAGAACTCATAGAGAGCCTCTTGTCTTTGCCTTCCAAGTGCTAGGATTAAAGAAAGGCATGTGCCACCACACCTGGTTTATCATGCTTTAAAAATGCCTATTTAAATTAAAATTTAAAGTTAGCATTCAAAGTAATGGGCTTCATTATGGCGATTTATACATATAACTCATTATGCTTTGCTCTTACCCACCCCGTCCCTCATTTCTCTGTCACTTCTTGCTGGTCACACTTTCAAATAAAACTTTTTAGGGTACTTTATGAAAAACACCAGTACATTGCCTGCCAAGAGCTATGGGAATTTAAAGAGAGAAATTAAGATTGAGGCGACTGCAGGAAACTTCACAGAGAAAGCCTCATATGATTGGTGTTCTGGTAGATGCTCAAAATATAATGTTGAGAAATTAAAAATAGTAACTGATAGAGTATTTTACATATAAGACCATCCCACTAATCTATGGACTTTTAAACAGAGAAGGACATCTGCATCCTGCTATCTTAGCTTGTTGTTGTCCTGAAAATTTTTCTGTGTGCATAAAGAATCTTTAGGAAGTTATAATAATGGTAAAATTGTAGTAATAATAAAATTCCTCTTACTTTAGCTCATTACTTTCCTATATTTCTAATTTTTTTTTTTTTTTTTTTGGTTTTTCGAGACAGGGTTTCTCTGTGTAGCTTTGCGCCTTTCCTGGGACTCACTTGGTAGTCCAGGCTGGCCTCGAACTCACAGAGATCCGCCTGGCTCTGCCTCCCGAGTGCTGGGATTAAAGGCGTGCGCCACCACCGCCTGGCTTATTTCTAATTTTATAAGCACTTTGTTAGATACATAAACTATTCCAAATCTTTATCATAATTGATTAAATCTCAAAGTATGTCACTGTTGTGACATTTGTATGGATAGTTTATTTTTTCCCTCCATAATCTGTGTTATTTCCTTGGAATAAATAAGTAGAAAAACAACATAGTAGGGATTATTTTCTCGTGGAAGTAGAAGTCAGTTCTCTCCTTCTGCCTTGTGACTTCTGGGGATGGAATTCAGGTTTTCAGGCTTCGTGGCGCACACTTTTACCCACTGAGATATCCTGCTGATCCTAATTTCTTATTGCCTTTGACACATATTCAAATGGCATTTTCAAAACTTGTCTGCTGACACCCAAAGTAAATTTTTATGCCGTGATACTGATCTCTCTCCAAGGTGGTCTTGTTGAAATAGTGTTGACTTGAAGAACCTAGGATACATTTCATAAAGTGTTCTCCTATTAGGAATACACACTCAGCACATTTAAGATGAAATGATGAGACCCTGGGTTTGTTCTCACTAAATTGGATGGAATATTAGAGCGGGGTCATAGAAAAGTAAGGTGGGCCTTGGTCTGTCCTTTCTAAAGCTGGGTTGAAGGTTGAAGGGTAGTACATGCAAACTCATTATGCCAGTGCGACCACTGCTATGTAGATCTGGGCTTTGTCCATAATAATTATATATTACATTTTACACACACACACACACACACACACACACACACACACACACACACACCCACACACGGGCCGGGGGGCTCTGATGTTGTCACTAGTATTCTCTCAGCTTATGCACTGCTGCCTCAGTTCCTCACTCTCCACTTGTGAGTGGAGACAGCATACAGATAAGGCCAGAAGCTTTGCAGTGGGAAGAGCAGCTGCTGTCTAGTCCGGAGCCTCACTTCAAATCAAAGCCCCGGTGTTTACTTTTTAAGTTAATTGTGATGCGATGATACATTTTCTGATACAAAGTCCTCTGAGAAATATTTTTAATGGAATGCACTAATAATTTTTAGCAGAAAGCAGACCATTAACTTTATCCACTTCCACTTATCAAAAGATTCCATTGTGGACTTGAGACATTTCTGAGAAAAAACAGTGCTTGTTCCCATCAAAGGCTGTTTAGAGGCACATACATGGTCTACAAGTGTGGTTGACTTCTTGAAGGACAAGCAAGTGCTGTGAGTTAGCTAAAGTAAGAGCTCACCTTCGTTCTTTCAAAGCCGGGCTCTGGGTCTCTTTATGACATCCGTAGCATAGAAAGTACATATCATCAGCCATATGAGCAACATACTTTCACACATGCATCATGGCATCTCCAGCCTTCTTCAAACTAATGTCTTTGTTGCTTCTCTCCCTCAGTGACTCAGTCTCACGTCTTTCAGTAAAAGTCTTCCTTTCCTGGTGTCTTCAAAGCATGCCCTGTGATCCTCTCGAAACAAAGCTGGCACTCACTATATATGGCTACTCACAATTGGCGTTATTCCAAAGCCCTTAACTCTTGCAATTCAGAGTATTATAATGTTCGGAGGACTTTCCACATCACTTACCTTGCTTCCCAAGTCTGTGTCCCTCTGTTGTTTAGGAGTATTGTTGAAGGGCTTTTTCATGTGGGTTCATGTGGAAGCTTCTGGTGGAATGTGATGACCTCCAGACTTTGCTGGTCTCTGCTGGGTCCCTCTGCCTGTCTGGTTCATAGCCACTTCTGCCTGGTTTAGTTCTAAGAGTCCTTCAGTTTCCTACAATACAATCTGCTGATGTCATAAGCAATGTAACTTGAGAGATTAATAAATTGGCATACTTGTTTCTGTATTTTCTGTTCTTTAATGAGTTTTTCTTTTATTAAAAAGTGCTATAAAGCCAAACAAAACCAGTTCAGTAGAGGTGGTAACTCCTTGGTTATAGCTCTGAGAATCCATCTTATCAACTCTTCCAGATCCATTTCCTTTGGCTTCTGCTGCATTTGGACCATTATCTGTTGCTGGTGGCTGTGTTCAGATTCTCAGGAGATACAAAACCAGATACAGCCAAAACTGTATACAGGAATTTGTTTTTTTTCCAGGTTAGGAGTTCTGTTCTTCATCACTTGTTATCTTCTTAACAGAGGCGCACTGGTCCTGGAAAACTCAGTGGCTGAATGTCTCTATCCTCCCGGCATTCCTCCCTTGCTCCCTCTTGAAATCATGGCTTGTTTCTTTAGCTGCTATTGTTAAGTGTATACACACACACACACACACACACACACACACACACACACACACGTGGTAGTATTTTACTTGTACTGAAATGTGATTTTTTTTTTTAAAGATTTCTTTATTTATTATGTATACAGAAGAGGGCGCCAGATCTCATTACAGATGGTTGTGAGCCACCATGTGGTTGCTGGAAATTGAACTCAGGACCTCTGGAAGAGCAGTCGGTGCTCTTAACCTCTAAGCCATCTCTCCAGCCCTGAAATGTGATTTTAATTGTATGTTAATAAATAAAGTTGCCTGGGGGTCAGAGCTATTAGAGCCATAGCAAGAGCATGGCGGTGGTGGTGCACGCCTTTAATCCCAGCACTTGGTAGACAGAGCTAGGTAGATCTCTGTGTGTAAAAAGATACAGCCAGCATTGGAGACACATGCCTTTAATCTCAATCCCAACCATAGAAGACCTGGAAGTCTTTACAGACAGGCAGTGACGAGGCATGGGTTTACAACCAATGAGAAGGCAGAACTGAAAGTCTTTATAAAGACAAACACACAGGAAGTAGCTCCTTTTCCGAGAGCTCTCTTGGCTGAAGCAGGAAGGGTAAGGCTCTTAGCTCTGACCTCTTGGCTTTCTTCTCTGAATCGGCTCTGTGTTTCTTATTTAATAAGATGGTTACATCTACATTTGAGTTTTCCTGCCTGGCTCACAGTCAGGACAAATCTCTGTCACCCGCCAGTCCCACAGCCACTCAGACCCAACCAAATAAACACAGAGACTTATATTGCTTACAAACTGTATGGCCGTGGCAGGCTTCTTACTAACTGTTCTTACAGCTTAAATTAATCCATTTCTATAAATCTATACCTTGCCACATGGCTCGTGGCTTACCGGGATCTTCACATGTGGCTTGTCATGGCGGCGACTGGCAGTGTCTCTTCCACTCAGCCTTCCACTTCCCAGCATTCTCCTCTCTCCTTGTCCCGCCTATACTTCCTGCGAAGCCACTGGCCAGTGTTTTATTTATACAGAATGATATCCACAGCGCGCGCGCGCACACACACACACACACACACACACTCTAAATATATAAGTACAACCTGCTCACTCCATTTAGTGTTACTTGTATGTATATGATTTCAGTGCTTAACATTTGGTATTGGATAATCAATTAGATGGTTCATCCCTGGGGAAGACTATTTCTCCCCATATCAGCTCTCAGCATTCCTTTTATATTTTGTGTGTGTGTGTGTATGTGTGTGTGTGTGTGTGTGTGTGTGTGTGTGTGTGTGTGTGTGTGTGTACACGCGTGCCTGAGTGTACATGAGCACAACATGTGCAGGAGCCTGCAGAGGTCAGAAGAGGGCATTGGATCCCATGGAAGTGGAGTTACAGGTAGCTATGAACTGCCATGTAGGTAAGTATAACTGAATCCAGGTCCTCTGGAAGAGCACCCAATGCTCTTAACCACTGAGCCATCTCTGCAACCCAGCATGTCTATCAAAGTTGTATTTGTAGGTTAAAATTGAAGGTGGGTAGTAATTCCCATCACTACTTTGGACCTCATGCGGAAGGAAAAGTCTGTTACTCAAGGGATTAGATCAGTAGAGAATTGCCTATATCTAGAAGGCTTTGAGAACACCACAGTGTGATGACACAGAAAGGAATCAATGCCAACATAGAACAAATTTAACCAGGAGACCTGAAAGGGAGTGCCCCTCCCCATGCTCATTTCCCCTGCTGCCTAGCAAGGTATCTGGCATTGAGATCCTGGACAGTGTTGCGCTTGAACCCTGTCCCCAGGCTGTCCCTTCTGCTGCATCTTGCTTTTTGGCATCTGGGCCCCACATTTCAAACCCCCATTCACAGAAGGGATTGGCCCTGTAGGACACGTGAGATAAGCATTCAGGTGTGGGGACCCTTTTCAATGTGTCCATCCCCACAGCCGCAGGACAGGAGTTGATCTCTGGAGAGACTGCCCTAAGTGTGAAGACACAGGCAATGGCTGCCATTGCTGCTATGGCAGTCTTTGTGTCCCAGCCGATGATGCCTTGGTCTGCTGTTTGCATTGTCCTAGTGGGACTCCAGGAAGGTGAAAGAAGTGAGAAGGGAGGAAGTGAGGAAGGAAAGAGAGTGTGGGCATGGCTAAGCAGATGTCTGTGCAGGTAAATACGGAGTATGATGGTCCTAGAGGAGTCAGTGGCTGGATGAAGTGTAGATCCGGGGCAACCACATAGGCATCATTATCTTTATTAGCACCACCATGGCTATGCCCATGGGGGTACCACCATCTTGGTTACCTACACAGTTGCCCTTGGCTGGTGGTGGCAGGTGGCTCCATAGGTGCATGAGCCTAATTACCAGTGATGCATGAGTCCCCAGCAGGACTGCAAATTCATGCACCTCTCAGACTTGTCATGGGGTTGGCCCAACAACTGTAGTTCAGCCTGGGCCTTCCAGTTAAAGGCAGCCACCTCTGGTCTAATCATAGGACTTGTTTGGGAGCTACCTCCCAGTCTAATCATAGGACTTGTCTGGGAGCTACCCCCCCCCCCCCGGTCTAATCATAAGACTTGTCTGGCACCCACTGGTGTATATGCTATTTTGTTCTTTGTTCTGGTATGGCAGGGGAGAGGGTCTAGGCACACTATCAAGCTCCAACAACCAGACACTATAAACCAGATAGGAATGAAGGGGAAAGGGGCGGGTTAGAATGATAGTCTCTGGACTGTTAGGGCTCCTGAGGGATCCTACCCACCATCTCCAAGTGAATATGTATTTGGGACAGCATACAATATTTGATTATGTATGTTACCAAGGAGCATTGTGGGATCCTTTTGTGGCTTCTTAGCCTCAGAGATAAAATAATTTAAAAATGAACTCAGAAGAAAACTTGAGGACAATTTTATTGGAGTTCAAAATAGAGAGGGATGGATGGAGAGAGAGGGGGAGGGAGAACAAGTTGTAAATCTTGACAGCTTCCAGGAGGAGGGATGTGATGTTGAGTGTTGTCAACTTGGCAGGTTCTAGAATCACTTTAGAGAAGGGCCTCTGAGCATGTCTGGGGGTGCGGTATCTTGATTATATTAATTGTGGTGGCAAGACCCACCAACTGTGAGTAGCACCATTCCCTGGGAGGAGATTATGTACTATGCAAGGGTGGAGAGAGTGAGCTGAGTCCAAGCATGCACTCCTTGTTCTCTGCTTGTCTGGAGCCCCTGCTTCTGTGGCATCTCCACACTGACCGACTGTCCGTCCACAGAGCTGAGACAAGGGCTTTCTCCGCTAAGCTGCACCACATCACAGGAAGGCACCACATCGCAAGGCAAGCAGGACTAGGCTTTGGGTCAGTCTCCAAAACAAGGAGAGAAAGTGTGCAATAAAAGTTACACATTCTAAGGGACAACTCAGGTTTGATAATAAAGGTCTGTAAACCGCTGCAGAGGTCTTTTGTCTTTATAATAGCATATCTTATCAATAAATATCAAATATTCCTCTCACATTTTTCTCTTTCAAAAAGGTTGTTTTCAGTTTCACAGTTACTGTTATTATTGTTGGTGGTGTGGAGGCATGCACTTACTACAGGGGCACATGAAGAGGTCAAAAGACAGCTCTCAGGAGTCCCTTGTCTCCTTCCATCCAGGATTCTGGGGTCAGACTGAGGTCACCAGGCTTGTGGGTGGCCATCTCCCTGGTGCCCGGGCATCTTTGTAGCAGGACTTTCAATGTATCTTATATCTTGAGGTTATAAGGGGTCCTATCCAAGTGGTTGACAAACTCAATTGGATTAACTCCTTAAGGAAAGGACAATCGTACATCTTTATAATCTTACATTCTTATGGGCAGTTTAGAATGTCATGTAGCTCAGGGCCAGAGGTAGAGCTCAGAAAGATTTCATTCTTTGCCCCCAAGTCATATAATGAAAGAGATCAAAATAATTAAAGATAAGTTAAAAAAAAAACCCCAGATCTACAAACTACCATATCAAGAAGAAATGACCCGCTCCCCATGTTTCTTTTTGTTTTGGTTTTGTTTTGTTTTGAGACAGGGTTTCTCTGTGTAGCTTTGGAGCCTGTCCTAGAACTCACTCTGTAGCCCAGCTGGCCTCGAACTCACAGAGATCCACCTGCCTCTGCCTTCCGAGTGCTGGGATTAAAGGCATGCGCCACCACCGGCTCCATGTTTCTTTTTGTGAGACATGGTCTCTCTACCTGGCGCTGGTTGTCCTGAAACTCACTTTGTAGACCAGGGTGGCCTTAAACTCACAGAGATCCACTGCCTCTGCTGGAATTAAAGGTCTGCATCACTATGCCCAGTTTGAAACAGCCTTCTAATGGGCACTCACAAAGCCCTGCCACCCCACTCTCCTCCTTTCATACAGTATTTTGAATCTTTTTTTTTTTTTTTTTAAGATTTATTTATTATGTATACAGTGTCCTGCCTGCATGTATGCCTGCACACCAGAAGAGGGCACCAGATGTCATGATAGATGGTTGTGAGCCACCATGTGGTTGCTGGGAATTGAACTGAGGACCTCTGGAAGAACAGTTACTGCTCTTAACCTCTGAGCCATCTCTCCAGTCCCAGTATTTTGAATCTTAAGATGCAATTATATGCTTCTTCCCTCTTCTGTAGTATTTCCAATTCCAAGAAGGACAAATGTGATATTTTCTCTTTCATAAAATCAATATGTTACCAGGGAAACTACAAGCAGGACCCAAAGCTGGTTATGAGAGGGGAGGTTGATCTTCAGTGACCCCCAAGCCTGCTAATGCCCAGCTAGCTAGCTAACATGTAAGTGGTCTAAATTCAGCAAGGTGTTCCTGTTCTATGTTCCTAATTATTCCTGTTACTATTTCCATTAAAGCTCAGAATCATGTCTGCTTCAGTTTTGGAGAGCTTTCCCATCCCTGTCAGAACTTTGTATTTAAAGCATCCTTTTAGTCTCTTCTTGGTGGCCAACTCCAATTTTAGTTTTCATTTGGATTCTTCTTTGCTTACCAGGGCTTCAATTTCTTTTTTGGAGAAATGTCTTCTGAGTCAGAAAAGGGTAAAGAGAGACTGATTCAAGCTGCTAAAATACTCTTCTTTCACATACGAGATCTGGTTTCCTTCATAAATAAGTTCGTTGAATTGTTTAACCTCACAATGAAGACTCAGATCCTCCAGATGGATCTGAAAGAAGATAGCTACATTAAAGATTTCTTTGAACAAATGATTAAAATTTTTAAAGAGATGCAATTGGTGTTTGATGCAAAGCACAAACAAATGCAAAAGGAGCCTTTATGTTCCAAGGTGGTGACTGCTGTGACCGCTGCAGTGGAGAAATGTGCCAACGTGGGTCCCCACCACACAGCTAAAGAAATGCTCAAAACTATCCAGACACCAGCTGTTGCCTCTGTGCTGAACAGTAGTCACATCCTTGGGAATCTAGAATCTGCTCTTTCGCTCCTGATACAGTTCCCCATCATGAGTCTTCGATTACGTGACTTCTATACGGAAGAGACCAAAGAGCAGCCAGGTACTACCACATCCGAGAAAAGTCCAGAACATCCCAAGGCCACTTCAGAGGATGCCTTGAGGAAGCTGCAAGATGCCCTAAGAACTGATAATGCCAACAAGTCAGTAGAAGCAGCCGCAGATGAACTGGAACTGTTTGTCAAGACTATGGAGCCAACCTTACAGGTCCTCCAGAAAACCATAAAGACCATAGAAGGGGATATCTCCACATCTAAGGAAGCCGAGGCCAAGTAGAGGCATGGTGGAAGATGTGTTCCTTTCTGTCTGAAATCAACTTGAGTTCTCTAATTTTTTTTGTGGTACTTTGTACGTTCCATTAATGCTATATGTGCAGTTTGTTAGAACTTAAATGTAGAGAGTCATCCCTTGGCAAACCACTTACCTGTAGTTCTGACTTGTTACAATAAAAAGGCATAACCAAAGAAAGCCTGCTTGAAATGGAAGTGACTAAGTAGAACATCCTACTGTAAGGATCAAGGCAGTATTACGCTCGGGGATAGTTCTAAATAGGTTGTTGCTTTGAAAGCATAATTAAAGCAACTGATCCCTCCTTTTCACAACTCTGTCTCCAGTTACAACAGTGTGAAGTCCAGGTAAGTGTTGGCATTATCTTATGGTAATCTATTCATTACCATACTATAATCTGTTCATTATCATATAGTAATTAAGAGGTATGACTGTTATTCCTGGGAAACATACAATCCATGCTTTGTCATTCATACTGGTAAAAGATGATACTGGAGTCTGGTGGTCACCTTGCTGGGATTTTCAGGTTTCTGCATCCCAGAAGAAAAAACTGGACAGAGAAATCTGTACTATAGCAAAAACAGACAGCGCATTAAGAAAGGTATGCTCTCGGGAGGGAGGAGACCGTATCTGGGAGGGAGGTTAGCCGCTCAGTGGCGTGCTGGGAGGCTCGTGATCCTTGATGTATCAGTTGCGTAGCACCGGCTCTCTCACATGGCTGCTTTTTTTTTAATGTGCATTGATGTTTGGCCTGCATGTCTGTGTGAGGGAGTCGAATCCACTGGAACTTGAGTTATAGGCGGTTGTGAACTGTCACGTGGCTGCCGGGGATTGAAACTGATTTCTCACACATTTTTGTCATGGGGTTTTCTACCCATGCTGTCTTATCTGTAACACGTCCTCACGAGTCAGAGTCTTCCCTTATGCCAAATGTTTGGTTCAGATGCTAACCCCGCAGCTTTGTGTCAGGTTTTTCCTGGACCTCTCACAGCCTATTCTCCTGCCTCAGTACAATTTCTGTAATGTCCACTGTTTTGATTTTCATCAACCACTAAATAGTCCTGATATGATTTACTTAGGACTAAGTAAAACAACAAATGGGCAGTAATATAATTTTCTTGCTTACATGAGTAAGACCAGAGCACATAGTTTGTTCTCACCTATTTTCTCTAAAGTCTTAAGATAAGGGGATACTAGTAGTTAAAAAAGAAAGGTAGTTTTGTCAGGTGGACAGAGATGGACACACAGCTCCATTCACTCACTCACAGCAGACCAAAGAGTTCCTGTACTCTTTTAGGGCACCACTATGGGACAAACTAGTATTCGTGGCTTCAATGAAGAAAACAATTTTAGGACTAGCCAGTCTAACACAGAGTTGGGGGTTAATAAAGACTGAGAGGTAAGACCAAACGGTTCCTGG